CAATATTAGACGAAAATGTGCTTACAAAATATCACATATTATTGAATATTTTTTAAGATTTTGGTATAATTAAAGCTTTATTTTAAAGATTATTCATTGAAATAAATAACAACAACAAAAAAAACCAGAATAAGTAAAAATAAAACTCAATTTAGAATCCAGAAACAAAATATTTTACTTAACTTAGTGGCGCAACCGCCCATGAGGGCCAAGGCTTACTGTGCCCATATCAGTATACGAGACCTTGGGCCCTGAGGTGCATGAACAGATGTTCCGATCAGGTGGTCAGTCTGACGCGAAACCCCTAGTGTTAAGTTCCCAAGAAAGCTTGGTTTTGCATTTATCGACCCACTGAAGGGGTGAAAGGCTGAGTCGACCTTTTCCAGCCCAAGGTTTCAACCTCAGACCTGTGGCGGGGAAGCGCGATGCACTACCACTCAGCCAATAAAATATTGCTTCCAGTAATAATTTTAATAGTCATAGAAATTAATTCACTAGTTTGATCCGTAAATGATCAAAATTCTTCATTTTTTCACAGTGAACTGTGCTGTAAAGAAGCATTGAAGAGCTTGTTGCCTAATGACCTGATGGTCAATGGCTAGGAATTTGATAAATAAATAATTTAACAAAATGCCCAAATAATCTTAAGATTTAAGTAAGGCAAGAATTTGTGTCCCTTTCTTTAATCGTCGACGATACTTAAATTTCTATTTCAATCCATGTAGTTTAATCACGCATTTTCGAAAGTAACATGCGTGATAATACTTATTTTCCACAGTAATCACGCACACCATCACAGAGTTTGTATGTATTTCCAGAGTTAAAAATGCACTTGTAATTTCTTGAATCTTTGGTGAAAGTGCCTTTTTAAGTAGGGTGCATTGAACTATAAAAAGAAACATATTTGAAACCTCTGCTTAAATTTTCTAATTAATCATTCGGCTTGCACATTCTACTATACTCTTCGAATTAATTGGGACAAACTGTTTTTTCTTGTCTGAGTTGGTATGTGATTACCGGTTATGTCCCGAACCACCTCAAACCGGTTATATCTGTTGAGAAGTAATGTGGGGGATCGACTTCGACTACAATTTACTTGTTTGATTGGTTTAGTACATTAGTAGATCAGTTGTGAGCCTTTCAGTGCGGTAGCTGATGGTTATAATTTTGCGTTCCACGTAACACGTGTTACTTTTGCTTCTTCAGGGATGGATATTACTGCGAGGAAGCGTTCTAAAATAATCACTCTTGATGAACACACGTCTATGACTGTGAGAAATATAGCAACGGTAGTTGGTGAGGGCAAATGAAGTGTTTCAAGAATTTTAAGAACATTTCATACTTCTTGATCATTGTCTCCAAAAAGAAAAGAAAAATGTAGACTCAGAGGGAAAATACTCCAAGAACTGACAAAATTTCAATAAGAAATAGCAAAATAAATCAAAGTAAGACAAGCACATACATTCAAAGGGATTTATTGGATTATGGTGTTGAAGTGTGTATCTCAACTGTACATAAAAAGGGTTCTGGAAGTTTGCCGTAAGGCATTAAGATCGATGAAAAAACAATTTCTAACTCAGAAAACGATAAAGAAAAACGCTTAACATAGGCCAAAAATACGGATCCTGGACTGTTAACAACTAGAAGAAGGTGATTTTCAGTGATGAAACGCATTTATTTGTGCCGGGATACAAATCAAGTGTAGTTAGACGAAGGGAAGTTGAGAAACTCTACTGTATCCAACAGACTGTAAAACACCCTTCTAATCAGATGTTTTGGGTTTTTTTTCACAACAAATGGCACAGGAAGCTTAGCTTTTTTTAAAAGCGTGATGAATTATGTTAAATACATAGAAATATTACGCAGTGGGATTCTCCCATCCATAGAAACATTTGATGGGACAATTCAAAATGATTTGGCTTCCTGTCCCAATTCGATAATGGTCAGGACTATGTGAGAAAATAAAATAAAAATGCTTAATTGTAACCTGGTAATTAACCAGACCTAAGTCCTACTAAAAATTTATGACATATACTGAAGAATCGTTTAGCTAAGATGAGTTGCACGACTACAGAACAAATGATAAAAAGTGTTATACAAGTGTGGTTTCACGATGATGAAGTTAAGAACATGTGTGCTGCACTAGTGAAGTCAATGCCAAGACGAGTTGAAGAGGTCATTTCTGCTATAGGAGGACCTACTTCGTACTAATATAGATTTTTTTCTGTCCACTTAAGGTATGTATTGATTAAAAGCTAGGGTTTTATAAAAAAAATCGCTTGTTACCATTTGTCCCAATTAATTTGAACAGTATAGTATAATGACGTAATCTTGAGAGTTTCCAAGGGCTCGAGATACCCTTAAACCCCCAAAAGAAACACTTAAAATATTTAATTTTAAAAACAGACCCGTATTAAAAAAAAATAATGCCATATATGTAATGTATCTTTTCTACATATTGAACTTGTGCAGAACCAAGTTTAATCTCTATATAAACATTGTATTAAGTACGTTCAAATATAAATAAATTATTTAAGTAATGAGATTCAAAGAGTTCTCAACAATTTTATTGCACTTCAATTCCAGAATTCATTTATATTTCTTAATATAAGTTTAGTTTTCTTTCAATTGATTAATAGGAGCAGTTAAAATATGTTAATTAATGAAACAAACTGAAAATAGATGCCACATTAATAAGCCATTAATTAATCAATGAAGGTTGATTATTGCATACAAGTTATAGAGTTTCGTTTACCATATTTTAATGTTATATTAATAGTTATTATTGCTGAATAATTACATTAATTATTGCTAATAAAACTGAATACTCGTTTTGAGCAATTAAATTGCAATAAAATAGTAACTGTGAATCTTAGACTTTAGTAAAAAACTCTGTATTTCAATGTCGACATTTGATTAATTCGCAAAGGAAAAATTTTCAGAAAAATTCTATAGATTCATGCAGACCTAACCCATTCTAACGGGACCTCCTCCGACATGGGACCAGTACAAATCCAGAAGCCATTAATCAAGTCGCCTAAAACGCACCGTTCAAACGTGTCACCCCCAAATCCTCACCGCACAGGTCCATCTAAGTCCTAAATCTCACCCCTGCCAGATTCTCCACGTTTCTAATCCAGTGGGTTAGATATGGATTTGTAAGTAACATACAGAGGGGAATGGAGAGATTACGGCTTATCCCATGATCGGGCAGATGGTTAGGGAGCAATGGAGTTATGTAATGTCCATTAGCAGCTCTGTGCAAAGCTGGAGTGCGTTTTTGGTGAGTTACATAAAACTTGGGAACTATACGCATAGATTGCTGAGTGTTTTAAATGCAATTTGCATGCGGTTTTCAGTTCTGTTAAGGTTAGTATACGTATGGCTTAAGAGTTTAGACGCTTTGGAAAGCAACTTGATTGGGCAATTGGATTAAGTTAGAACCTTAAACTAATCCCCTTAGACTAGATCGATACCCTTAGACTTTAGTTACCTTGAACTTTCGAAGCGTCTGGCACGTGTGTAAAGTGTAGTTCTAGCACATAAAAGTGATTGAATTAATAAATTCTACAGGAATTTTTTAATACAAGGCAGGAACAAATTCATTTTATTTTTATATAAGTTGTAACGCAGGGGTCGGCAACCTATGGCGCGTGGTACAATTCTCAGTGGCACTCTGTGCTACTCTACAAATTTGTTTATTTTTTTGCGGGGTTAGAAGTTGATTAATGGGCCTTCTTAACAAACATTTTCAGAATTTTCTTTGAACATTTAAGGAATTGCTAAAAAATCTGAAAGATAACTCTACAGATAATTACAGCTATTTTGTAAATTTTTGAGCATCATTGCTGGAGAGGCATAATTGTTTGAAGAAAGAAAATTGCATGTTGTCTGCTTTCCGCGTTTGGTTCTGCGAAAATAAATAAAAATTCTTCCCTCATATGAAAAACCTTTCGAATTTTCAAAGAAATCGTTTAACAACTGAATGCTCATAATCGTATTAAATTGAAAATCGCAAATTATACCTCTGATTTTGCTATATGAAAGTGGAGCGGTGCAAACACTAGGATCACATTAAAATTTTTATTTACCTTTTTATTTTACTATAATGAAGGGAAATACTTATATTTTATGCTGACTATTTCTTATATTAATAAATAGGTTTAAAAATGCTTAATATATGTAAAATTTCATTTCTTAAAAATTTTTGTTGAAGAAATAGCTATGTTTTAGGCTGTTTATTTTCATGTCAACAAATATCTTCAAATGATGCAAAATTAATATGTAATAAAACTGTAAATCTATATTATTGAGCTCTATTATCTAAATCTGCATGTATTATCGCGGGAATCGAATTGTTTCAAAAGTATCCTACTGTGTGGTACGCGCAATTATATTGGTAAATTGGTTTGGCAGCTAAAAGGTTGCCGACCCCTGCTGTAACGTATATTTCTTAATACTGATATGAAACAAAAACAAAAGTATCCCAATTGCATTTTAAAAAACATGTCGACGTTAGCGCAATGAGATAATCTCTTTGGTGAGAATTAAAAATATGTTGCCCCCCCCCCCTTGTGTGCATTGCTGTCGTGTCATGAGTTTAAGTTCTAGTACCACTAAAGACCCATCTTCCAATCGCGAAAAAGTAGATATTGCGTTTAATTTTTTTTTTTTTTTTGACGCTTTCTTGGGTCACATTTATCGCGTTACACATAAATTTAAAGATGACCTTATAACTATTATAAACAGAGAATAAAAACAAATCATAAAAAAAATTTTAAAGTCAATTTCTACTTAGGTCAACAAAGAAAATTTTTATTTTAATGACTATTTATTACATAATTACAATTAGTATAAATATGCATATACATATGACAGAATCATTGTATTAAGTGGCAAAATAGAGAGCGATTTCCTTTTCTATATATGGCATTGGACTATTACTTTTGTGTTTTTGCTACAATTTATTCATTCATAAGTCACATTCTCAGAAATTAGGCCATCCCAGATAGAGATCGATCCCACGACCTTTGTATTACAAGTCCAACGCGCTATGCATTGCGCTACAGCAAGGATGTCAAGCTCGAAGGTTAACTTGGGCCAAACAAAAAAAATTTAACTTTTGGTGGGCCGCAAAAAAAAAAAAAAAAAAAAAAATCAATATTCTTTGAAACGTAAGTATATTTCAAATAATGCATTATAATAAATAAAAAAAGAACAAGAAAAATTTAATGTCTACTTCCTGACACTTGACATATTTTCTATGCTACTATATTTCCTATTTCGGAAGAAATTTGAATATTTTATTATATATTATTGTGTGCCGTGATACTGAACGGGCCACGAGTTTGACACCCTTGTGCTACAGGGACACAATAAGCGCTTTTCCTCTTTGTATACACTACAACAGAGGTGGGCATTAAGTCGATCGCGATCAACCGGTGGACCGCCGAAACATTTTGGGGTGATCGCCTTTACTAATACCTAAGATGTGCGTACGAAAAAAACGTACGAGTATTTGTGGATCACCGATGCCAACTAATCTGGAGACAGGGTGGACCGCAACACCTTGAAAAAGTTAGAAGTAGCCCGTACCCAGGAAAAGTCTGCCCACCCTTGCACTACAAGTTTTAAAAAATGTATTTGAACTTGTGAATGGATGAATAAAAAGTATTTTATTAACGATTGAAAATTTGAACAAGATATATAAAAAATATATCTATACAAATAAATAAAATTGAAGTGTCCGTTTGTAATTTCAAATTAGTAGCTTTTTACTTAATGCACTAAAAGTATATACGGTACTCATAACAAAAAACCAATTTTTAAAATTTTTGTCTGTCTGTCTGTCTGTCTGTTTGTTCCGGCTAATCTCGGAAACGGCTGGTGCGATTTTAAAAATTCTTTCACTAATGGAAAGCTACATTAACGGGGAGTAACATAGGCTATATTTTATTTCCGTATTCTTACGGTAACGGAAACTATACGGGTGAACGTGAAACTGAATGCCAAGATGAACGCCAAATTGAACGCCAAGCTGAGCTAATGAAGTCGTTGTTTTGGTTACTGGCGACCGATGCTCTTCATGAGACATAATAGTGTTACGCGCACATGATAATACGCTGACACGTGCCATAATTTTTTTTTATGATAGTTATCTCACTGTTCAGTTAAGTAGAGCATCGGCTGTTTCGGATGCACTTTTAAAAATAATAAATCAAGGCTTCATAAGTAAAAAGCAATGCAAGAAACAAAAAATTGATAAGTTTTACGGTTAGTTTTAATCCTTTCTTTTTTTTTATTTACATTTTTAGTCACATTTAAGCAATAGTTATTATAATCCCAATCTATATCTATACAAATAAATAAAATTGAAGTGTCTGTTTGTAATTTCAAATTAGCAGCTTTTTACTTAATGCACTAAAAGTATATACGGTACTCATAACAAAAAACCAATTTTTAAAATTTTTGTCTGTCTGTCTGTCAGAATATAAACAGATATATTTATAAAACATCATGAAATACCCAGCGAAGCGGGAGGGTAACGGCTAGTATATTTATAAATATATAGGGGAGAGAGTGTGAACTAATAGTAGGAATTGAATAATTCGCGATTTTATGTGAAAACAAAATTAATCACTCTCAGTTCGAGGGTTAATTATTGTATTGAGATTTTGATGTTATTAAAATTATTTCTAAAAATCAGTGGAAAATTAAAATTTTACAGCCTTCTACCTCTTTTTTTTTTTCTTTCTTCTTTGAATATATACTTTATCAGTACTTATAGCTTTAACACAGTTATATTTAAATATATATACTTTGTTTTTTACTTACCGTAATTAAAATTATTGCAACAAAAAGAAAAAAGGAAAAGACAATTCTGGTCTAAATCCGAACTGATTTGTTTTTAGTTTTTTAACTTGAAAACAAAACTAAAAATAAAAATATGTTCGACTTTAAAGATATTTCGCATCCGAAAAACTACATTTTGTGAATGTTGAAACCGAAAACTATGCCTTTCTGTAATTAGTCTTCTTCAAGTATACAGCAGTGCCATCTATTTTACATTTCTGGAAGTAACAAAAATATTCTTTTTCTAATACGTACTTCGTTTTTATTCATAGATCAATTTAAATGAATATTTTGCTGCTAAAATATATAATATAAGTGTATAAAGTAATACAACCGAAGCATGCGTCATAGAAAAATTATCATCAGAATCTCAAATAATAATAATAATCGCGGTTATATGAAATGATTAAAACTAAAAAGGTATAAAATAAAATATTTTATATATTCTTGCTTTATAATTCCTTTTCATGGGGATATCATATTTATGTAGCTATTCGAATGTTTTCAGTTTAAATTTAATAATTACAGCTTATGGATAGCTACAATTCATTTTGATATAATAAGCCAAATAATGATAAAAACTGACATTAAATAAAAATAGCTTTTATTTTTTTCGCTGGAAAACATATTCTAAAGACAAGCTAAACTAAGGCAAAAAATGATTCCCAGTGCATCTAAAATAAATAATAAAGTCAGGCTGGAGCTATCGTACTTTTTATGAATTTAAGAAAAACTGCGACTTACCGATGTTGCCAGATGCGTTACAGGATACTTTGGATGCCTCAAGTTCGCCTCTTTAAGTTTATAAAATCAGAAAACGAATGAAATTAGCCTCCATGGGATTATTATTTTTAACTATCAATAAATTGTATCTGGCTACTTTTTAGATACTTGTATACCAAACTCTAAGTCTTTAGAACTAAGATTGAAGGTTTAAACATTGTTTTCAGGCCAGAGAGAGAGCAAATATCTCTCTCTCTCTATATATATATAAAAGAAGTTTTTCGTGATACTGTAATAAATTTATTTTATGATGATTGTGATACTTTGCATGAACATTCAAAAATAGTTAAACATAACGATGTATTGCATATTAGAACAACATAATACTTGTAAATTATAATTTTACAATTTAAGCAGTTGTATAATTTGTGCTATGGGTGTTGGTTCACCGTCAGGCAGATAGGAGGTAACCCCTCCCCCCGGTTGGATTAAAGTAAAATTGATATAAAAAGAGACCATTTCTTTTTTCAATGCATCCGATGCATTACGGTAATTTATACGTATATAATCAGGAATTCAAATAAATTAAAAGTAAAAAAAACTTTTTTAAGAACAAGCTTTTATTTAAACGCGCTAAAAAGAATAAAATAAACTTTTCCTTTAAAACTTTTTTTACTATCAACTCATAATGTCATTGCACAATTTATATGATATAAAAGATTGTCGCAATATTTAAGTACTCATATTTACTTAGTTTGAATTTTTAAAAACTAAAATCAATCAGGTCAAGTTATTTATTTTACTTGTTTTACACAGGTAAATCTCGCGACAAGCTTTTATATCATATAAATTGTGTAATGACGTTATAATTGATAGTAAAAAAGTTTAAAGGAAAAGTTTATTTTATTCTTTTTAGCGCTTTAAATAAAAGCTTGTTCTTAAAAAAGTTTTTTTTACTTTTAATTTATTTTTTTACTTTTTAGTTATCGCTGGACAGGTTTCTCAGCCTGTTCAACTCATTGAACGCTGGTTCGCCATCCCTGGTTTAGCTGAATTAATTCTCGCAAAAGGGTATTAGACTAAAAACACAATTTTTTTAAATCCGTAATTTTTAAGCAATTTTTTCAATTTTCGTGCAGATTTTGGGTAACATTATTCTACACACGAAAAAAAAAAGGTTTAGTGAGATTATCTGCATAAATGACAAAGTTATTAAATGTTTAATTAAAATTTTGACTATTTTTGAAAAACTTAAAGAATATATTATTTATTTGAAATATTTTGAAGATAAGGGATATATTTCTCTAACATATTAGAAGAAAATTTTAGTTGTTTATTAAAAAACTTCAAAAGGCATTTAAATATTTGTATTAATCAATAAAATGCTTAAGATTCAAAACGCATGTTGTAATCAAAAAAGAATGTTTTATCAAATAATGATAATTTTTTGCTGGACATTGAATATCTTCTAAGTAAGAATCTATTTTTTTAATTGGCTCAGGTCATCTTTAGAAACTTGATTTTGAAGAAATAATTAACCATCGCATTTTTATACAGTCAGATCTCCATGTAACGAACTTCTATTTTAGGAATTTCTCTATTTTAAGAACTTTTTCCTGGAACCAAGCACATATTGCTCTTTTCATCGTAAAACAACTCCAAATAGCGAAGTGCATTTCCTATTTAACGAAATGTTTCTTCTGAGATTCGATTTTTTTATCTCCTTATTCTAAAAATATTTCAGGTCATTTTGCAAATTATTCTCTTTTGGCACATTTTATGAATATAAATAACCTTGAGCTGGTTTTACAATGTGCCTAACTCATGTAGAAAAACAAAATTGCCGTAATTTTTCAAAAAAAAAAAAAAAACTCAAATAAAATTAACAGATTCTATTTGTAATTAAATTTAAGGACACATGTCGTAGTGTGTGTTTAGATTACTGGTGATAAAAGGAGGTATATTTAAATTACTTGTAGGCTTAAAATTAGAAAATTTCTTTAAAAAATTCCTTCATTTTATTATAAAATTATTTTTTTAATCGAAAATATATTGCATTTCTAGATAATATTTTCTCTTATTGTTTTCCTAGCGGATTCCTTTTTGATGGGTAAGATACATAAAAAAATGATCTTTCCGATTCTGTAATTATTTTTTGTCTGAGTTTCATAGATAAAAGTTAGATAAATTTTTTAAAGAATTTCTTCAATACTCCATCTCAGTTTGACTTGGCAGCGTTGCGAAAGGTATACAATGTACCAATCTAAATTGGAAAATGGCTCGACTTTTTTGTTTTGAATTTAAATCCAAGAAAATAGATAGAAATTTGTAAAAAAATTGCATACGTTGTAGAAATTAGATTATTTTTACGTTGTAGAAATGTAATTATTTTTTAGACAAAGTTAGTTAATACAGTCAATAGTGCAACGTTATGAAATTCCAGTTTGGCTGAAAACCGATTTTCGACGCCAACTTTTGTCATTGTTGTAACAATAAAATTA